TCTGTGTGCCTTGCGCCATAGGCCTGGAGTACCTCGAATGGGTGTCAAACATCGTGTCCCAGTTAAGGAAGGAAACGTTTACCCTGCCACGTCCGGCCGGCGCCACCCTGACCGTGGGGCCCGTGGAGGACTCCGTGTACGGGGACGACCCGGGAACCCTGAACGGGTGCGGGAAGTTCTTCCTTCCCTCGCCAGTGAAAATGCAAGCGGTGGGTTTCGTGGTGGGCACGCCCTTCCCGTGCGAGCAGCTTCTGGTGATGACGGGGGAGGATAAGGCGGTGTACGCATTCGACGGGGACGAGCTCCATCTGGTGGCGTCCAGCCTGAACGAACTGTGCAGCCAAGGAATCATTTACCCAGCCTCCAAGAGCTACTACAGAGGAGAGGCTTTCAAAGACATGGTTGGTTTTGGTTTTGGTACAGTGGGGGAAATAAGTATTTGACCCCCTTGCTGATTTTGCAGGTTTGCCCACTTACAAAGAATGCTTATTTTTCCTCATCAGATGGTTATCAATTTTGATAAATTCATATGATGTGATTTTCTGGAATTTTCTTTGGGATTCTGTCTTTCACTGTTAGAATGTACATATGATTAAAGTTATAGATCGTTGCATTCTTTGTAAGTGGGCAAACCTGCGAAATCAGCAAGTGGTCAAATACTTATTTCCCCCACTGTACATTAAAAAAACAAAATTATCGATGACCACGATCGAGGTTTGTCTTTGAACACAAGTTGATTTTTTTGGGGTGTGGGGTGTCATCTGCTGTGTTTAGACCAACGAGGACTGGGACAAAGTGAGGCAGGGCCCTGTGGGGCAGAAGTTGGCCCAGGAGCATCACAAACTGGTGTCCTCACACAAGTCCAGACTGCTGGCAAATCTCAAAATAAGCGCAGAAAAAAAGAGGTAAGGATCATATCTTTATGGGACAGTTCAACACTCACACCTCATCTTCTGAAATTAGTCATAGTTAGATCTGGTTTTTGTTTATTTCTAACCATAGGAGCATTGTAAAATTATTATTTGGAGCCTGTAATATTCTATAACATGGAATTTCTTTGCATTTTGTGCTGATGAGACCTGTGTTGCATCTGATCCTCTCTCTCTTCCCCAGGTGTCACCAACAGCATGGCAAAATCCTTCCAGACAACATATTCAGTCAGTTTGGGCAGAAGGAGGGAAGCTGACCATATTTTATACACTGCGGTCGCAGGGCTGTCGGTGCCTGTCGTGGCGGCAACCCTTGAACCCGTTGGTGGACACCGGCGGTGAGGGATGCCGTCAGGCTAAAGAAGGAGTCCTATCTGGCCTTTTTGGCCTGTGGGACTCCGGAGGCAGCCGATGGGTATCGGCAGTCCAAGCGACGTGGGGCTCGGGTGGTCGCCGAGGCAAAAACCCGGGCATGGGAGGAGTTT